CGCTAGGCTGTGTGTGTAGAGGCTGAGTAGATGACGCACTAGGCTGTGTGTGTAGAGGCTGAGTAGCTGACACGCTAGGCTGTGTGTGTAGAGGCTGAGTAGCTGACGCGCTAGGCTGTGTGTGTAGAGGCTGAGTAGCTGAAGCGCTAAGCTGTGTGTGTAGAGGCTGAGTGATGACGCGCTAGGCTGTGTGAGTAGAGGCTGAGTAGCTGACGCGCTGGGCTGTGTATGTATCTGTCTCTTATACACATCTAGATGTGTATAAGAGACAGAGTTTAAAGAGCATCGAGGCGGTAGTTTAAAGAGCGTCGAGGCGGTAGTTTAAAGAGCATCGAGGCGGTAGTTTAAAGAGCGTCGAGGCGGTAGTTTAAAGTGCATCGAGGCGGTAGTTTAAAGAGCGTCGAGGCGGAAGTTTAGAGCGCAGTGACGCAGTACAATTAAATGCTCTGGCGTAGCAGTTGGCAGCGAGTTTACGTCTCATTTAGTTTCGTGAACTTCCGTTTTCGCAGTTATTTTCGCAATAGTTTTATACCGTTTTTTGCAATGATTTGATACGCATATCTCTGTAAATTTATGAGTATTACCGAAATGATATGATGCGTATATTCAAAATTGTTTGATGCGCATTTTTGCTATTTAATGGGTATTTATGCGTATGCTATTTAATGCGTATGTGTTTTCGCAGTCGCTTAATGCGTATTTTCACAGCTGCTTGACTCGTATTTCTTCAGTAGTTAGTCGCGTATTTTACATGTGCTTAATGCGTTATTTTGCGAAGGTTCAATAGAAATTCTTATAGTTCGATCAATAGTGCGTATTACGCAGATTTTTGTATGACATCTGCGCGTTAGTTGTAAAACATAAGTTCCACGAAATTTATTCATTATCCTCCTAGATTGTAAAGCAGCAAGTACCACGAACTCATCTGTATAGAGCAATGTCAAATTTTACGTGCTAGTATAGCTAGGCTATTATTTATTCATGAATAGAATTTGCTCGTTTACTCATAATAACTTATTGAGTTGTGGGAAATTTCTTATAAACACATATTAACTTTTTTACTCAGTATAACTTGGTGAATTGTGGGAAATTAATTATAAACGTATATCAGCCTTATTTTCCTTATGACTAACGTACTATTATGTAGTTTTACTTTAGACTAATACTTCTATGTATTCATTTAAAAATCTATGAAATTATTTCATTCATGTTCTCAAGAGATAGTGTAGAATAATTTAATGGTGTTATTTCTTCCTGTTTTTCGTCTCACGTATTTCATTATCAGTGATAATTCCTAGTTATGACCTAGCGTTCGTCAACTGATACTAACGTTCACACGATAGTGAACTGCGTCGACCGTCATGCTGCCGAGCACCCTGACCGCGTGGCTCTGATCTGGGAGCGAGACGAGCCAGGGCACGAGCAACGTGTCACCTACAGGTACCTCTAGGCAGGAGGGGCAACTATAATATCCTGTTGTTCTCGGCGGTCTCCGTCGTGCAATAGGACTGTATCTAAAGGTGGGCACCTTTTGTGAGGAGAAGCAGCTTCTACCCTGTTGTTCTCGGTGGTCTCCGTCGTGCGATAGGACTGCACTTAAAGGTGGGCACCTCTTAGGTGCCCACTTCGGGGCAACTATAGTATCCTTCTTAGGAGGGGCAACTATAGTATCCTGTTGTTCTCGGCGGTCTCCGTCGTGCGATAGGACTGTCTCTAAAGGTGGGCACCTCTTGTGAGGAGAAGCAGCCGGTACACTGTTGTTCTCAGTGGTCTCTGTAGTGCTAGAGGAGTGTACCTACAGGTGGGCACCTCTTTGGAGCAGGGGTAGTCAGTACGCTGTTGTTCTCGGCGGTCTCCGTCGTGCAATAGGACTGCACTTAAAGGTGGAAACCTATTGTGAGTAGGGGCAGTCTGTACCCAGTTGTTCTCGGCGATCTCCGTCGTGCTATAGGACTGCACCTAAAGGTGGGCACCTCCTGTGAGGAGAAGCAGCCGGTACACTGTTGTTCTCAGTGGTCTCTGTAGTGCTAGAGGAGTGTACCTACAGGTGGGCACCTCTTTGGAGCAGGGGTAGTCAGTACGCTGTTGTTCTCAGTGGTCTCTGCAGTGCTAGAGGAGTGTACCTACAGGTGGGCACATCTTTGGAGCAGGGGCAGTCAGTACTCTGTTGTTCTCGGTTCCCCCAGAGTGCTAGAGGACAGTTCCTATACAGATGGACACTTTTTGTGAGGAGCGGCAGCCAGTACCCTGTTGTGCTCGGCGTTCTCTGTAGTGTGAGAGGATTATCCCTTATACTCTAGGCCATTGCTCAAACAACTTAGAACTTCCGCAAACATTCAAAGGAGTTCCAACCATGCACGGCACCCTTAGATGTGAGATCAACTACTAACTGCTCGAACCATCAGGCTGCACTCCTTAGCTCTTTTCTGGGTTTTCTTTTTTTAGTTATCGGTCTAGATGGTCCAGACTCAAGCCTTCATATGCTTGATACTGTTCATAGCGAGCACAATGTATTATCCCTGTAATTCCATTCTAGCCCTGACTCGTCTTACTCCCCGTGCATAGATTGAGTCAGTTAATGCTTAAGACTCTGCTCTATTTTATCTTCATTCCCGAAGTTCGAATCCTTTCAAAAATCTATTGAAATACATCGATGAATCTTCCGAAACAACGTGATATCACGCATTGCCTATCAAAGATATTTTCGAATGAATTGACATCTTACTACATTAATGAGAGTGTGTCGAAGGAATGTCTATGTACTGCATCACTCGCCCTGCTGCTAGAGCACATTTAGTTGTAGTGGAAGTTCTTCGCTGGCATTGGTGCGAAACGCAGCTAATCGTCACGCTCTCCTGGGAATATTCTCTATTCGGAAGTTTGCGTTCGATATTTTGTCTTATCTATAAAACGAACTGTTAGATACCGTACACTTTGTGACGCTGTGCAGAGAGCTACAGGAGATGGTGTGGCGCGTGGCGGGAGTGCTGACAGAGAGTGGCGTGTCAGCAGGCGACCGTGTGGCGATATATCTGCCTGTGTCGCCTGTGGCTGTGGCTACGATGCTGGGGTGCGCCCGCATCGGAGCCGTCCACTCTGTCGTATTCGCTGGCTTCTCGGCCCAGGCTCTCGCATCCAGGATACAAGACGGTGAGCGGCAACTGTCACTACTAAACTTTAAAAATAGGCTGCACAGAAGTCATTGTTTCAACTCGCTAAGTTTATTGTTGTACTTGTTGTATGAATTTTTAAGTGCATGTACAGAAAGCTAAATGATTTATTGATTATTCATTATGAAGTAATCAACATTCAGGAGTTAATTTAATGAGCTTTCCCGTCTATTCTTACCTATCATCCTATTTACGGTATGTATTATATGGAATGTTCTACCTCGAACTTGCATCAGGTGCCACGCTATAAATTAACACTTCATCTTATCGTGTGAAGTCATAAACGCATGAGTAGTTGCGAAGCTGTGAGTGTAGAGAGGCTGAGTAGATGACGCGCTAGGCTGTGTGTGTAGAGGCAGAGTAGCTGACACGCTAGGCTGTGAGTGTAGAGGCTGAGTAGCTGAAGCGCTAGGCTGTGTGTGTAGAGGCTGAGTAGATGACGCGCTAGGCTGTGTGAGTAGAGGCTGAGTAGCTGACACGCTAGGCTGTGTGTGTAGAGGCTGAGTAGCTGAAGCGCTAGGCTGTGTGTGTAGAGGCTGAGTAGCTGACGCGCTAGGCTGTGTGTGTAGAGGCTGAGTAGCTGACGCGCTAGGCTGTGTGTGTAGAGGCTGAGTAGCTGACGCGCTAGGCTGTGTGAGTAGAGGCTGAGTAGCTGACGCGCTGGGCTGTGTATGTATAGAGGCTGAGTAGCTGACACGTTCGGGTACCCACACAGTGAAAGCAGGTTGCCAGCGTGCTGGTTACCTGCTGAGGCTGGCGCCTGAAATTGAAATAAATAAGACTGGCGCTGGCCTATTCGTACAGGTTTTCAGTGTGAACACTTATATATTATTATCATATATTCATTCTTGTGGCAGGTTGGAGCAGGTTGCCCGCACGGGCAAACCTGCTTTCCCTGTATGTGTACCCTTACGCTGTGAGTGACACTAATATGTGTGTGTTGGCACAGCCGGGGCTTCGGTGCTGGTGACGGCGAACAGCTCGACGCGGGGAGGCCGCCTCATCCCCCTGCAGGCGACGGCACGCGCCGCTGTGGCGCTCTGTCCCGGCGTGAGGCAGGTCTTCGTCATGCCACACTCCCCCCAGCCCCTCGAGCTCGCTGACAACGAGGTCGACCTCGAGAGAGTGAGCTTATGGCTTGAGTGCAATCCTTTAGGTCAGGTTCGCACGGGATCAATTCGACCGTGAAAGTTTAATAATAAACCATAATTGCTTGTGAAACTTTCACTAACGGTCAAGACTACTTCTAGTTATTGGTTTGATTTTTATTTCCTTTTTGCTTTTTAATGATATCATGCAAAATTGTAGAAAACTCAATTTTTAGCAAGTGTTATCGTGTATCATCATGTTATTCAAAAGATAGGGGAAAATTGTATGCAAAGATTTACTGCAATATCGTGGAAATTCATCAAGACAAAATGCGGCCAGCAACAAAGTACCGATACCGAAGTCTGGGTTCACACCGTACTTCCGGGCACGTGCCGGTCACGGTCCGGTCCAATATTCTTCAATACATTTCTATTGAAGCTTTCACACAAAGCAGCCGTCACGATCAATGCTAGAGATATTTTGACCGGAACGTGACAGCAGCGTTGTTAACTATTCTTTTGTCGAGTATACCAGATTGCAAGCTCAACATACCAGATTTAGCAAATATACCAGACACCATCATAATATACCAAATTTCTTAAATCTGGTATGTAAATATATCAGTTGCAGCGCTGCGTGACTGGCATGACACGTGATACAAGAGACAGTTGTAGGACCGGACAGTTGCTATCGCGCCCCCCTCATTCGGCTGTGCGCACTCACGCCGAGCAGTGTGATGTGCCTGTTTCTGACAGTGACTTTAGGGTGTTAGCTTCCACCTCCGGGACTTCCGATTTGCGCATTTTAGAATCGCTGTATACATCTTTAAACTTAGGCCCAGTTTGAATTCAGCTGCTAGCTCCTATCCCCTTGAAATTGTTAATAGATAGTTTTTTATGTCCTATTACTTGTAAATTTAGGTTCTAATTGTGTTCTGTGCTTTCAATTGTATTAACTTGTGACTTTCTATGTATGTTCTAGATTCTACGAACTGACGATGGAGCTGGACTCCGAAACGTTTTCTATAAAAATATGAATTTTTGTGGACAATTCTTTGCTTTTAAATTTTTAGTCAACTTGCGATTTAAGCAAATAAGTGACATTAATACTGTGATACAAGAGGAACTGAAGTGAGGACGAACCTTGACTGAACTGAACATGTGAATGCACCTGGCAGGGAACGGACCGTGACTGAACTGAACATGATAAGGGTTTTTCGGGGTTTTAAAGCCAAACCCATGGTTTTAAAAACATAGAATAAGGGTTTTTTGGGGTTTTAAAGCCAAACCCAAGGAAGTGGTGGCAACAGACCGTCCACTTGCGGCGCCTGGCGACGGCGAGGGCGAAGGTCTTGGCCATGGCGATGGCGGCGGCGGTGATGAGGAGAGGCACTACGCGGACCAGGCGCTCAGGGGCGGACGAGCAGGACAGCGGCACACCCTGCCCCGCACTGCACGCTGCGCACCCCACCGGGCACGGCGTACAACTGAGACACGAGTATGACTTGAGGGCGACGTGAACCAGACGAAATATACTAGTGACAAGCCATAATAGGGGGCTAAATATTGATTATACGGAAAATGTGTAAAGGCGACATGAACCAGACGAGATATACTAGTGACAAGCCATGATAGGGGCTAAAAATTTATTATACGGAAAATGTGTAATGGCGACATGAACCAGACGGGGTACACTAGTGACAAGACATAATAGGGGGCTAATATATTTATTATACGAAAACTGAGGCAGACACGAGCACGACTTGAGGCGACATGAACCTGGCAGGGAACGGACCGTGGCTGAACTGAACATGTGAATGCACCTGGCAGGGAACGGACCATGACTGAACTGAACATGTGAATGCACCTGGCAGGGAACGGACCGTGACTGAACTGAACATGTCTTACGTGGACCGTCCCTTGCCTGGCACTGACTACTGAACATGTGAATGCACTTGGCAGGGAACGGACCGTGACTGGCATATGCCCGGCAGTGTGGGGTGAACCAAGCCTAATTAGCTTTCCTCAAACTTTTGTGATCGCCCCACTGTGATCAACTTATAGCAGAGGCCAGGGGCCATACTTTCAAAATTCGCTAAGTGAACGTAAGTACTTACGCTCTATTTTCTTGTTTATGATTGGTGGATTTTGCTTAAAAGGCCGTCAATGATTGGCTGATGAACTTACGAACTCTTAACTTTTTTTGAAAGTATGGGCCTGAGGCCTCTTCTGCCGCAGTCGCAATGCTAAGAAGACTGAGAAAAATTACGTGTCCCTCCTCCCCTCCCTTCTCCTTGTACCTCAGTGCGGCGCTCCTCACTTTTTAAAGCGCTGACTTAACAGATTAAAAATTTGGAACAACTTTCACAACTCCCATATAAATTTTTACATATTTTTAGAGTCCCTTGCTAGTATCAGGTTGTAATAACTAACACGAATAAATGTTTTATCGTTATTCATGATTAATTCACTCCTTATTAACTCCCTGTGAAGGCGATGTCGGCAGTGCAGACAGCTCCTCCCCCGTCAGTACAGGGGGCGGAAGACCCTCTCTTCCTCCTCTACACTTCGGGCAGCACAGGCAAGCCCAAGGGGCTCGTGCACACCACCGCAGGCTACCTCCTGTACGCCGCCCTCACCCACAGAGTGAGTTGCTGCTTTTTGGCTCGCTTTGTAAAATATTTTCGATAAACTTTGCGTACAATATTATGGAATAATAATATATAGGTAGTGATGTTAGTTTTGATTGTACCATGATGGCCCGTCGTCGATTCACCCGGCCGCCTTGCCAATTTAGACCAGAATTTTTACAAAGAGTTGCGGGTTTCGAACTCTCAAATCATAACATAACATAACATAGTGATCTCGGCGCTGAAGTATAGGCCTGATGTGGCCTGTCGCTGATTCTTTTCCTTTTCGTGCCTTGTTCACAGAAGATCTAAACTCGTGTCATTTGACCAGATCTTTTCATGACTGACGATGGTTTGAAATAGCTATTAGACTTCCACCGGGTTCGATATGGTACTAGGCATTTCAAGTCTTAACATATATTTTTCCATAGCTTTATCTAGTCTGTTCTTGAACGCGTTCATATACATGTACTTTGAGCGCCAACGATGTCATCGGGGAGGCTGTTCCACATGTCGGTGATTCGAAGCGAGAAGGAATCGCTTATACAATGTTTGTGGTATTAGTCACTCGGCCACTCCAAGCTTGTCGAAATAGGAGCTTCTGAAATTGAAAATATTCTTATTTATTTTTAGGGTAATAACTTGTTTCACGTCAATTCATCAATTCGAATAGCTGTGTTTTGCTCCTCGAAAATTAACATCTTTTGCCTTGAAAGCGATATTGCGCTCAAACTCAACCCTATACACTAGAAGGGTGAAATGAAAACAGGGCGGAAAGCATTGCAACACCTACTGTATTAACTTCCCACTAACTGACTCCTAAGGAATTCAGACATGTCTCCATAAGTGTCATGATGTCTTATATCATAACGTCATACATGTCTCCATAAGTGTCTCCATACATATCTTCATACATGTCACCATACATGTCTCCATACATGTCTCCCACATGTACGGAGATGAGTTCCCGGTCAGTGGCCGTACTGTCAGAGATAGTTGCGAGTTAGTAATTCAGCTGCTCACAAACGGCATTTCAAGCAAACTCACAAGCTACAGACGAGAAATCGGCCACTATACAAGAACAGTACATGTACTTGAGTGTACAAGAACAGTGCATGTACTTGAGTGTACAAGAACAGTACATGTACTTGAGTGTACAAGAACAGTACATGTACTTGAGTGTACAAGAACAGTACATGTACTTGAGTGTACAAGAACAGTACATGTACTTGAGTGAGGACGGACCTGGGAACCTCTTCCTCCTGTTGGAGCAGATTGGCCGGGTCTCGAATTTCAGATACTGATACCGTCGGCTCTTGCTGGCGATGTCTCACCACTATTTAATTCTCGGTACACTGGCCTGAATTTATCGTCTGATGCATGGGGATGCGGAGGTACTATATGTCCGGTTGTGAAAGCATGGTAAACTAACGTATTGATCGTCTGATGCTGTCCGGTCGTGACAATATAACGACATCTACCTCAACACCGACGTCGCAGTGTGAACTCCCTCATCGTGAGCGTTTGCGTAGTTTGTGTAGGTTCGGCTTCTGAATGTTGTAGCTCTTATACAGGCAGAGAGCATTATTAATATACACATTAATATACATTTCGAAAATACACGGCCTCCATTTTACAGATGATTTGACTAAACGGCCTCCTTTTTACAGACTGTTTTGACTAAATAATTCGTAGATCCCATCGCCTCGCCATGACTCATTAACACTAATTACAATTCTTTACCCACAATCGCAACTCACGTTTGTTTTCTCTTAGTTATGTTTCTATTTATTTGAGCGGTGATCAATTTATCGCAGTTAGTGTTTGACTACAAGCCTGGTGACGTGTTCGGCTGTGTCGCCGACATTGGCTGGATCACAGGACACAGCTACGTGGTGTACGGCCCCCTCCTCAACGGCGGCACCACCGTCCTCTTCGAGAGCACGCCCGTCCACCCAGATGCTGGTCAGCAGGCTCATATTCAACATAGTCAAACTCTAGTTTACCATTGCAATATCTTTTATTCAATGATTAATGATTAATGCCAATCTCGAGTGATTTCAGATGCTAGTCAGCAAGCGCACATTCAACATAGTCAAACTCTAGTTTACCATTGCAATATCTTTTATTCAATGAATAATGATTAATGCCAATCTCGAGTGATTTCAGATGCTAGTCAGCAAGCGCACATTCAACATAGTCAAACTCTAGTTATCATTGTAATATCTTTTTATTCAATGATTAATGCCAATCTCGAGTGATTTTTATGTCTTGCTAACAGATTTAATTTAAGTCCATGTGGTGAGATAAACCCCCCAATTAGGCATGGCTGGTATGCGTTTTAAAGTCAAACACTTGGAAGCTTTGCCTTTCTCATCCCTTCATTGCCGGTCAAACTTCCTAATATGAGAAAGAATTGCCTTCAACGGCGCAAAACTCGTAGTTCTGGATATCCCGCGCATAATAATAAGTTAGAGCAAATCAATTTTCCGCGCTTAAATTGAGTTTTTGAACGCAATTTGCCTCATTGTGAAAGGCTATAATGACACTAAATTGCTAAATTCATTACCGAAGAATGATGCATTGATATTTTATGTCAAAAATTACAAAACCTGTTTTTTTTAATTAAATGGCTGCTATCTTTAATAAGTTATATTGCGCCTCCTTTTAATCAATTATCTTGCGTGTTAAACTCTATTTATATTCTAGGGAAATAAAAATTATTTAATTTTAGTCCATACCTTCCTACCATCCAACTTGTGCTCCGTTGCTACTTGCTGCAGGTCGCTACTGGGAAACTGTAGAGCGCCTCTACATCACTCAGTTCTACCTGTTGCTGTTTGCTGCAGGTCGCTACTGGGAAACTGTAGAGCGCCTCTACATCTCTCAGTTCTACCTGTTGCTACTTGCTGCAGGCCGCTACTGGGAAACTGTAGAGCACCTCTACATCACTCAGTTCTACCTGTTGCTGTTTGCTGCAGGTCGCTACTGGGAAACTGTAGAACGCCTCTACATCACTCAGTTCTACCTGTTGCAGGTCGCTACTGGGAACTGTAGAGCGCCTCTACATCACTCAGTTCTACCTGTTGCAGGTCGGTACTGGGAAACTGTAGAACGCCTTCGCATCACCCAGTTCTACGGCGCCCCTACGGCCATCCGCCTTCTGCTGCGCTTCGGTGACGACTTCGTCAAGAAATACGACAGGTCGTCGCTGCGGGTGCTGGGGTCTGTGGGTGAACCTATCAACTCAGAGGCATGGCGGTGGTACTACGACGTGGTGGGTGATGGTCGCTGCACGGTGGTCGACACCTGGTGGCAGAGTGGTGAGTGGGCTTACGAACTTTACGGTGAGTGGGCGCACGAACTTTACGGTGAGAGGGCTTACGAAGTTTACGGTGAGTGGGCTTACGAACTTTACGGTGAGTGGGCTTACGAACTTTACGGTGAGTGGGCTTACGAACTTTACGGTGAGTGGGCTTACGAACTTTACGGTGAGTGGGCTTACGAACTTTACGGTGAGTGGGCTTACGAACTTTACGGTGAGTGGGCTTACGAACTTTACGGTGAGTGGGCTTACGAACTTTACGGTGAGTGGGCTTACGAACTTTACGGTGAGTGGGCTTACGAACTTTACGGTGAGTGGGCTTACGAACTTTTCGGTGAGTGGGCTTACGAACTTTACGGTGAGTGGGCTTACGAACTTTTCGGTGAGTGGGCTCTGTCTCTTATACACATCTAGATGTGTATAAGAGACAAACTTTACGGTGAGAGGGCTTACGAAGTTTACGGTGAGTGGGCTTACGAACTTTACGGTGAGTGGGCTTACGAACTTTTCGGTGAGTGGGCTTACGAACTTTACGGTGAGTGGGCTTACGAACTTTACGGTGAGTGGGCTTACGAACTTTACGGTGAAAGGGCTTACGAACTTTACGGTGAGAGGGCTTACGAACTTTACGGTGAGAGGGCTTACGAACTTTTCGGTGAGTGGGCTTACGAACTTTCGGAATGAATCAGCAACTTTTCCATTAATCTTTATTTTACATACAATCTCCTAGAAGTTGGATTAGTATTTTAAATAAGAAATGGCAGTAATTTGTAAGATGTTGACATTTTTTTTCCTTTTCAGTTACATATATCTATTCAGAGTACAATACATAAATCTTGAATTTTAAGAATCTGTTGTCACGTTAGAACAGATTCCTCAATCTGTTGTCACGTAACAACGTGAAAACAGATTCTTAAAATTTAAGATTTGTCTATTGTATTGATGACTGTCCCCCAGAGACGGGGGGCATCATGATTCATATGACTGTCCCCCAGAGACGGGGGGCATCATGATTCATATGACTGTCCCCCAGAGACGGGGGGCGTCATGATTCATATGACTGTCC